ATAATAATAATAATAATAATAATAATAATAATAATAATAGAGGCAATCATACTTTTTGTGTTTTCTGTCCGTCAGTTACTTTTTTAGTAAAATATTGCTCTATGTAAATGAGATCAGAGACGGAGAGGTCATCTATAATAATAATAATAATAATAATAATAATAATAATAATAGAGGCAATCATACTTTTTGTGTTTTCTGTCCGTCAGTTACTTTTTTAGTAAAATATTGCTCTATGTAAATGAGATCAGAGACGGAGAGGTCATCTATGGGATACGTATATCGAAACGCCGACGGCGCAGTATGAATTGAAAGCACTTAAAAAGCCGTTTCCAAACACAGTTGCTATTCGGATTTTTTTCCGGCGTTAAAAACGTTTTTGAAGCGTACATCGAAAAGGACGAGAAAGCTTATTTCGAAACCGCTTACAAAGACATCTGAGGTATTCGTTTCATGGAAGGAAAAGGAAGAGGTAAGAAATTCTTTGACAGAGAAGTGATTTTATTAACTAACGGCGCATAGGATAATAAATAGTGCTTTAGTTGACGAAAAACATCGAAAGTGTCGAAGGAATTACAAAGTCTGATGTGTCAAATTTATCAAAAGCATTTAATCAGGGCTGTGGAATTTGTGAAATTGATCCTTCTCGGAAACAGAAAGTAAGGTCTCAACATTTTATCCATAACATTTACTGGTTGTCGAGATTTCTTCTCGTGAGATTTCTTTTTGGCAGTATATGAAGTCAAAACGTTATGATGAAGGTTGTCTACTAAATGTTTCTGAAAGCCCTAAGATGAGCTTTGATTACACTTGTGAAAGTTGGACACCACATGATTATGACTGAAGTAGGATTGGAATGTGTTTTTTTCCCATTTATCTTACGTGAATTAAACTTAGTTTTGCTATAGTTACTATATTCTTTACACTTTCTAGACGGCAAAATTAATAATCAATTTTTTTATTAACAAATGTCAGAGAACTAGTGAAGCGCAACCTCTAAACAGACAGCAGAGCAGATAGCTTGGATTAGGGTGTGATCGCAAACAGAACATGGCCGTGGAGTTAATCGCTCGCTTATCCTTGTTTCTCTTCTTCATCGCCTCATGTCATGGCAAACCGGAGAACAGCAGCGAGGCTCAATGTAAAGTCATACCGGTTGGAAAAGGGACTGCGTCCGAATTCCGCGTTAAGGCATCCGAAAAGGGTGTTAGAATGGTCTATTTGAATTTGAAGTTCTATAAAGACACCTATTATCCATTAAAGTCGGAGAACGAGTTTCTCCCATACAGATGGGTTCGGGCGAATTCGATAACCGAGCCAATGTTGTCTTTGTCGTATGATTATGACATTTTGTCCATGGGTCTCCTAAAATACCAGGCAAGAAATATGGATGTACTGCTGACAGATCAGCCAAGCGGCTGCTTGGCGAACTTGAATTCATCATATCAAAAGAGAGTAGTAGGAAGATCACTTCTGAATATGACACAGTTAGACTCAGGTGAACCCTCAGACAGGGATGTTGTTTGTGTTGCAATGATTGAAGATTACTCTGTAGACTTTTTATGGAGCTTCGTTGATGGAAATGTCAAATTCCAGTGCTGGGAGATGAGCAAAGAGGAATCCACCATGAGCTATGCATCGATTCAATGCGAGCTGGACGTTCAAGATGGCATTTGGTTAAAAATATTTAATGGCAGTCTCAACATTTTGACGTTGCTGATGATGTTTTATTGTCCAGCGTTTCTCCTTTTCCTGCCAGATTCCATTTTCGATCTTCAAGAGGAGTGTAAAAAAGAAGCGCTACGCGAAAACGAGCAACAATCAGAAGATATCCATCATCGACAGAGAAGTCGACAAAGAAGGAGGTACGGATCAATCGATGAAGCCTTAACATATATCGATGCCGAAAATAACGATTCAGTTCGTCTTGTAACTTTAGCTAATGCGACTCAGAGTCAAGAAGCTAATCTCCAACTAAGCGAGGATGAATCAAACAGAAATGTTGAAAGTTTACTTTACTTGGACGAACCAAATCCAATTACCATCTCTTATTTTCTCAGAACTTATATCAAAGAATGTACAGAGTTGTTTTCATTTCACTTCAAATTTGCATTTCTTTGGTAATGTGTTATTCTAATTTTTGTCTACTTAAGATTAGGATTAAACTACATCGTAGAGAGAAAATTTATTGAGGAGGTACATAAAAAACCAAAGGAAACTTTAGTCGGAGACTTGTTTTCATATGTTTTTAATTTTCAAGGTCCACAGAGCACACTAATGGCTCTCGCACCATTAACTATGATTTTATTTTCAAGTCCTAAGGATTTCCTTATTACTATCACAGATAACGAGGAAATTAGACAAGTCATATGCCCTATTTGCAGAGAAAATACTGCTTCAGCAGGAGAGGACATGCTCCAACACCTTGGAAAATTAGCCGTAAACAGTTGCAAGTTAGCTTCGTGCTTAATTACCGTCCACCAAAAAGCACTTTCAGGGTCTTTAAAGTTCTTTAAAGATTGCTGTATTGTGAAAAAGGGTCCCCCATTGAAACAAGTTAAAACTGCTGTCATTGTTTTGTGGGTTTTATTCGGCGAAGTTGTTTTAGTCATAGTTGTGGGTGTCATTTTTGGAGCAATATGCTTGTGTCTCTTGTTAATAGGGTTAGTGTGGCTGATTTTTTGGTATTCACCGTGGTTTAGTCTGTCCCAAGTTTGCTTTAGGAAAGTAGGGCAAATGCTAAGAAGATGGATCCACGAAATGCACAGCGAAAACCTTAAATGTCACACACATATTTTAAAGTTCCTTGTTTTTGGATTTTTTCTATTTTTCCTTCAACTTCTCATAATGGCAATAGTTACAGACGGCTGTTTCATAGGGGGCCTGTCTTGTCGATGTATCACTCACATGTGTGGTTTGGTAATTCTAGGTCTTGTATTAAATGCTTCAGTCGTGGGCCCATTTGTGGCATTCTCTGTCGTTTCTTTAACAAACATTTATCTTTGTTACTATAATTTGCAAATGCGATTCCGGGATGTGAAGCAAATGATTTCTGAGAATTGGCAGACTTTTGATGGAAAACGCGAGTCCAAGGCAATTCCAGAAGATCTATTCTGGCGCATTTGCAGTGATGCGTCAGATTCGAATCACAAAGTTCTACCAGTCAGGCCTGAAGCATACCGCATGCTTAGGAATATGGCTATCATTTTGATATTTTTATTTTTGGTTTTCTGCTCGATATTTCTGGTGAATGATGCGTACAGCTTTTCAAGTTTTACATCATCGATGGCTGTGTTTCTAAGCGGAGCTATCCCTGGATTGTTTTTCAAAGGATTGACGAACGAAAAGCGATTTACGGGTGATACAAGGGTGAGAATGATGGCTAAAATTGAGGAGGCAGCTAGAGAGTACAAAGAAAAGATCGAAGAAGAGTCTCATCATTTCTCGTAACAGAATAGAACGTAAAATAAATTTTCTTTAAGAAAGAAAAGTTAGGGTAACGATACTCCTAAAGATCAGGGATCTCAGTTCGCACAAGAGTTCGTGCGAGAATTCGTGCGAGAGTTCGTCCGAGAGTTCGTTCGAGAGTTCGTTCGAGAGTTCGTCCGAGAGTTCGTTCGAGAGTTCGTCCAAGAGTTTGAGAAAAAGAGACATTCCTTAGCACTTCTCTTTACTCAATAGAGACATGATCATTTTGTAAGGTGCAAACTAGAAATTTCATTGGATAACCCATCCTAGTTTTGTCAGTTTGTCTTGTGCTATGATCTGTTACTCATCGAGTGACTGAGTATCACACTGTATGTATTTAAAGACCTCAGTAATAAAATAAATATTTCTTAGACTGCATTCTTGATTCGCCTTTCATTTTATGTTTAATTTTTTTGATCATATGTTCAATCCAAAAACAACAAATTACTGTCAACAGACCATCTAATTCAAGCATTTCGGGTACATTCATGAGAAATTTTCTTGAAGACGACCGAGTGCAGTTTACATCACTTCCTCTTTGTTTTGTCTTGCTTGGTTTGTCATTGTTTTGATTTGCTAATTGTTGTTGTTTCTCAACTGGTTTATTTAAAAATAAGTATCATCATTGTGCGATGCCTTTTTTTCTTCCCTTTCCTTGGCCAAGAGGCCGTCACTAGACTCCCAGAGACGACAAATCTTACATACGATATTTAACAATTATTCCACGAGCGCGCTTTGGATATGAGATGATAGATAGCCAACGAGGCGCGTAGCGCCGAGTTGGCTATAATCATCTCGTATCCAACAAGCTCGAGTGGAATAATTGTTTTATTAAAAACGTGAAATTAAATTATTAAATTTTTAGCTCCCTTTTAATTTTAAGCTGACACGTACGCTTGCCATATTTGTAGATTATGGTATATTGGCTGATATACCATAATGGCTAAGCCAATAAAAAGTCTTGAATTGCATTATCCAATGATCTAGTTTTTAATAATCTTTGTTATTCACCCCGAGCAACGTGGGTGGAGTGTGCGCCAGAAAATATTGCAATCTTTGCAGGAATAAGTGAGTTAAAATCATCTTTTTGTGCTATGTTATCTAGATGATTTGTA